AAATGCTCGGCCTCAAGTTAAATCCTTAAACATCGTCAAAGCATCCACATAAGGGCCAGCACTTCAGGCCAATCAGTCAATGTGAAAATCCACATTGAATTAAATTTTTATTATACAACAGATGAAGACTTAGACCAACAGATAATGACCTCCTTTAGAACTAACTACTTGAAGTTGTTGCTAACAGGCTTAAACATTTGCAACTTTTAGTCATTGTGTCCCAGTGTGATGAGAGCTGTCTGCTATCCAAAATTGTGGTTGATAGCAATCTACGTCAATGTTTACATCCCAAATCTTGGTCATGAGAAAAGAACAAGAACAAAGACTTAGCGTGGGCGGATACGATTCGTAGATATATGGTCTGATCATCAAGCAAACGGCCACAAAGAGGTGACAGATTAACTTTCAGAGAGAAAACAACCAATCAGAAGACGCTGTTTCTCTGCTAACAATGTCCTATAATAATGTACATAAAAATCTATTAAATATCTGATGATTTTGTCAATAAACGATCTGTTGCCTTGTCCTTGTCTTTTGTCGTTACACCAGGATTAGTAAGCATCCCACCTACTACAGTCTAGGAACTGGATAATACCATCAGAAAGAAATGCTGAGTAATCTTCAGTAATTTATTTTTTGGTGCCAAGGTTCATCGAAATTCGCAAAACCAGCAGTAATACATGATATTATGTGCAGCTTTCAAAACTGACAAATTATGTTCGAAGAAGGAATATTGTGAACCATTACACAGAAGTGCAATATTAAAAATTACCAAAAGCCGTAAAATAACAAAAGAAACCACTAGCTGAAATAGAATAATAATATGATGATGAAATAAAGAAGTGTAAATGGTAGTGGGGTACTTTTTCAATGATTCCTTTGAAAACTGGTCTATAGTTGAAGCATTGACAATGTCCCAGAGTTTGTTATAAGGAATTTTGTTGTCTCAAATGTATTCATGGATTTATATGAGTAAAAGTATTTGACAGCTAACTGTTTTGTCCTGGTTTCCGACTCATGCGTAGTGCGCAACCCCCACAAGGGTTCAAACCCAGGATGCTGAGGCTGCAAGGTAAGGTAGTTGACCATTCAACCACTGGGACTTGATCCAATGGCCAGTCGATGATTTCTAAAGTCTACTAATTCGTGATTTTAGCGCGGCTGGCACCAGCCAGTGTCATCGGTGACGAGTATTGATACTTACTCCTCACTGCCTATAGAAAGAGATAACTTCAGTAAATAACTGAAATATCAGACGCCCAATATTACAGGTTTACAATCGCAAAGTTTGCTTTTTTTTATTGCATATGCAACTAAACCCGGTCGGCAGTGAGGACAAATACTCGCCGCCGAAGACATTGGTAGAAGCTAGAATTCATGATCCCTTGAATAGGGTTCCAGTGGCTGAATGCTCTACGAGCTTTCATTTTAACAGGGAGATCCTGGGTTCGAACTCCCCTATGATAGGTGCGTACCGCAGATGAGTCTCAAACTAGGACGAAACAGATGGCTGTCCAGGACTCCGGTGCTGATTCTCTAACTCATATCGTTCCGTGAACAAACTTAGGAAAAAATTGACAATCCGTTCGACATTTTTGATCATTCTACTCACGACTTTGTGACTAACTATGAAAATTGAATGAAGTGCTTGAGAAATGTAAAGAAAAAGCTATTCTATGCCCGAATATCTCATTCTTTACACAAATGGTGAAAGTATTAAATATTTCCTCGAAAAAAAACAAAAACAACAACAAATCTAGTATTGCCCACTTTCAAACATGATGGAAATGAACTAAGGGGGAAAATGTCAAAAACTGTATGTCTTATATATAGAGTAATCAGGGAATAATTCGAATAGAAATTTGAAAATCTCTTGCTGAGATACACATCCATAATAAGGTGTACCATTTGTTCACAACTGTATTGAACGCCACTAGAAAGTACACTGCTGTCTATTATAATTTTTAAAAAATAGGAAGATAAACACGTTGCCCTACTACTACTGGATTCTGCATATTCTTCTGTTATTTCGTGAAAATGATTAACGCTTATGATTTACATGTGTCAAATTGAGGTGTAAGAAACAATAAAAGGAAATCCTGGGAAATATTTAAGTGAATCAATGTTTATTATTACAAAATAATTCACTATAAAGAAAATACTATTTGGAGAAAAATTTCTAGTTTACGAACAAAAAAAATACTATCAAAACTGAAAGAATAATTATAATAATGCGTTGACGCATAGTGAGATTATTATTATTATTGCTTCCTTTAATTCCTAGAGGAACATAGGGCTTCAGCCATGAGTCTTCGTTGCGTTCGGTTCTCTGCTAGAGTCTTCACCTGGCTCCAAGTCTGCCCACACGCTTTCATCCCCTCTTCACATGACCTCCTCCAAGTCACCCTCACCCTTGCACTGACGACAAACTCGCCGCTTCCCTTTCGGGTTCCACTCGAGCGATGGCTTATCTAGTGATGTCACTCACTTGATGGCTTCCTCAGAGTATGGCCAGCCAATCCATCTCCATTTCCTCCTGCATATTTGTTTCACAATCGGTTCCTGCTCAGTTGGTTCGCTCATTGCCAAAGATCTCTGTTGCTGATCTTTTCTGACCGGCTATCTGAACTTGAGTATTGAGCGAAGACAACTGTTAATGAAGGTCTGTAGTTTGTTTGAGATGCTCTTTATGACGCGCAGTGCAAGTCTCTGATCCGTACAGCGAGTAGCACTGACTTCACATTGGAGTTGAAAATCCGGATCTTATTTTTGATGCTGAATGCTGTTGACATCCACACAGACTTGAGAGTAGTGAAAGCCTGTCTTGCTTTTCCGATTCTTGCTTTGATATCCTCGTCAGTTTCATTCGCCTGTAGTTGAAACGATGCTTCCCAGATAGGTAGGTAGGTGAAGGAGGTTTTTTTTCAGGTTCCTTCCATTTATGCTGATTGTTGTCAGTTGTTGTTGTTGCTGTTGGTGGTGTTGCCCAGGAATTTTCATTACCTCTGTTTTATCTATGTTCACCTGAAGTCCTATCTTTGATGCTTCTTCTGCCAACTTGTTGCTTTTCACTTGCATATCTTCCAGTTTGTGGGAAATCAGACATATATCATCGGCGAAGTCCAGATCCTCCAAGTTTTTTTGTATGAGTCCAATAATGAGATTAAGCATCCGATTTTCATCCTTCCTTTAATTTTGTATTCTTTTCATTCCTAAGTGGAACATCAGCCTTAACGTTCCAGTAGTCTTAATGCTGCTTGCTTTTATGGGGTCAGGTTGACTGCCTCACACCTCAAGCCTTCTTACTTCAACGGGCTTAATATTGACTGAGTAAACGAGATCAAGAATAATGTCGACCGAGGACCACGTGATGTGTGGTTCGTGAGTACTCTCTACCAATGAAATACTGACGCAGAGGGTTAGTGAAAATTGATACTCTGTTCAATCAGTAGAAATACAATTATGCTTATATAAATGACAGACTGAGCGGATATGGTACTCAAAATAAGGAAACAACGACAGTTAGAAAAGAGGAGGGGAATTCTGTTGTGTCTTAGGTTTTAGCATCTATGTATGCGATCAGGCATCATTCGTCATATCCTACAGCTATACATGATAGATATAAGCAACACATTACAACAGAATACATTGTATCAACAATTGACCAATTTCGTGTGACTGACTGGCTTCAACATAGAACTAGTTTGCACACATGTACACCAGTTCAACTCGACACACTCCCTCCTTCTACCACACGAACCAACAGAGCAAACAAAACACAGATTCAAAACAGAGATAATACACAGAAGTGTGAGTGAGGCAAAACGAATATTAATGTGAAAGAACAATAGAGTTTTATTGTATATGACAAATCACTCACAAAGAGTGATGAATGCATCTGTGCCATTATCGAGAACGACGGCTTTCAGCCATATCACCAATTGTCTCCACAGCCACCATTGGTTGTTACTGTTCAGAGGACCCCAACCAACCACTTACCCAGCCATCCAGTCTATACCTCATTAAGTGGTTGACTAGCTGGCTGGCTGGCTCAGACTAACTCTCATGAGACTGATGAAGCCATGTTTTCATTTGACTCCACCACTAGGAGCTTTTCTTCAACTTGGTCCGTCGTTGAGAAAGGCTATCGATGGCTAGACATGAATGGCGTAACACATGCCCTAACCATCTTAGCCAACCAATGCAGCTGCTTCACAGATTCTCCCTCCTCACCAACCACTCAACCGAAGCCTAACCGCAATATTACTCAATTTACCACACTTAGCACCACCTGATCACAGACAGCTAACCAGCCTTTTCATGACCATGTCTCATAGACATAAAGGGATTCATTAAAAATCTTTTTTGAATTATCTGATGTAAGAGCGCAGTGTTGTTACACACCAACCAAACAACTTGCCCATACATTTTGCAATGACACACAATTTTTGTCTAAAACATGTAATCAATCATAGTAAACAGACTGTCTCTCAGATCCAATTCAAACACCATTCAAACATATGACTCATCATTTGAAATTAAAGTGTGACAGATGCAGGAAAAAGAGAAAACAAAGGTCTTTTTAAGTAATAATAATAATAAACTCTGCACTAAAATGTATAAATTATGCTGAGAAGTGCCATAAGCACTGCAATTTGAAACTGAGAGAATGAATTACAGAGAAGTGTATAGGTGAACCAATGAGACAACAGTATATGTGTATATAAATAAATATACTAATGAATTTCCTAATTAACAGAGATTGACTGATAGACAATAAAAGAATTACTTGAGTAGGTGTTAAAACTGTCATATATATATATATATATATATATATATATGGAGATGAATGATAATGACGATGATGATGATGATGTATACACTGCTTAAAATATGCGTGAGTGTACACTCCACACATAGTGTGTGTGTGAAGAAAATCCAATAGAAGGAAGAGATAGATATACAGCATTAAATGATACATTAATGTAGAATTAACTCACTTTTACTTTGATGTAATGATCCATTTTGATTGGATTTGGAATTGTTATTATTACTATTATTACTACTATTTTCAACACCATTAGTTTTATCTGTAGACGACTTAACAGCACTTGATGAGGTAGTCTTATCTTCAACAATCTCTGATGACTGATGATGATGAAGGTTATTATTATTATTATTGTTCAATAGAGTATTGCCTTGTATTGCTTGTGAAGGTGACGATGAAATGAAACTGCTTGCTGGTAAGGTTAATCTTGTCTTAGGATCAGCTAATAGTAAATAGATTGCTGTAACATTATTGAAACTTTGTTTTACTAAAGCTTCACGTACATCCTCAGGACGATAACCCATAATACGCATAATTTCTAAAATACAATAAACAATTATAAATAAAACAACAGTAAAATCAGCAGAGAGAATTCAACGGTTGTTATATCAATTTTTTAAAATAAAAAAAACAAACAATCAATACTAGAAATAATTTTTCCAGGGATAACTTCTTATCATTAATCACAACAATGAAGAGTTCATCACGTGGTCAGGTATGACGACGAGAAAAGATAGATGCTGTACTGCTTACAGAAAGTGATCAATGCAAGCAGTATCTTTTCTCTTATTTGCATGTCTGTCTGCCTGTTTTCAACATAGAACTTTGCACCGATGTGCAGTAGCCCAAGTCGCCACACTCCATCCACGTAGCACACAAAACGAGAGAAGAAAGTAAAAAAAGAAATGCAAAATAGATACAGTAAACAGGGATTTAAGACAAAAGAAATAGTAATAACGAAGAACAATATAGTTTTATTGGGTATTATAAGTCACAAGGAGTGGATGCAACTGTGTTATTCATTGAGAACGATTTCGAGGCATATCACCGATTGGCTTCAGCCTTCATTGGTTTTTACCATCCCGAGGACCCCGACTAGTCAGGAAGTCTACATCTTCCTCTATGGCTGGTTGGCTTAAACTAACTGTTGTGAATTTCATTGACTGATGAAGCCATGTTTTGGTTTGACCACCACTAGCTCTTTTCCAGCCTGACCCTATGTCAGCTAACATTGCTCTTCGTCGAGGAAGGCGATGACTAGACATACGTAACACATGTCCGAAACATCTCAGTCTATGTAGCTTCACAGCCTCGTCGATTGATTTCCCCTCCCACCTACCTAGCACTCGACCGAAGCCTGACCTCAATACTGCTCACTCTGTCATACCACCTATGATCAAAGACAGCTAGTCTTTTCATGTCTTCCACTCTCAATGGCCAGGTCTTATTTGCATAGAATTTATCTAAAAATTCTTTAGATGATTAGACACTGACATTTAACATCAATTTAACCCACTGTCTTCTTCTGCTGCATTTCTGTCGAGAATCTCAACGAAACACGTCGAGAATCATAAACAGTTGTGTCAAGGACTGACTGAGTTCCAGTATAAGACTTTGCACAGAAGTGGACCACTTCAAGTTGCCACACTCCATATAGCACACAAAGGCAGAAAGAGAGAGAGAGAGAACTATATAATAGACGAAAATGTGTAGGATAAAGACTGGTGGTGACATGGAAACACTTGAGAATTTGATGAATCTAAAAGACATTACAAGGAGTGAACACATCGATAGAGTTGCCATCCCGAGGAAATCAACCAGGCATTCCACAACTACCAACGCAGCTCAGATCGAATGTAAAAAACTTCGAGCATTGATGGCGAGTTTTCGTCTGACTACCTACGCCTAACGTTTTTCCAACATAATCCTATGTAAGCTAACACTGTCCACCAAGAATGGTGCTGGCACAGCATACGTAAAACGTATCCTAGCCATCCAAACCAATCTAGCTTTACGACCTGGTCGATTGACTTCCTTTGCTTACCTAGCACATTAAGGATAACCTCAATACCACCCAACATATTATACCATTTAACCAAAAAAATCATAATTGCAGACAGAAATAAACAATGGTGAACAAAAAAGCCACACTACATTATTATTTCGCTCGGTTACCCAGAAGATATACTTCATGCACAATACTACGAGACACACTCGTTGTATGGGAGATAATAATACTACTCATTTATTATGATTTCCTTGGGTTCCTAGTGGCACATAGGGTGTCAAAAACACATCTCCACTTTTTTGATTGGACACTAGTCATTAACTAGTGTAATGTGTCTAGTCCTAACTGCGGTGCAGACTTAATTATATCAGTCAAGTTTCCAATGTGGCCGCCATTCTAGGTGGCTCGCCATCACAGTACACTGTGAATTGTTGGAGTTGAATGGTTGAAGGCAATCGGAAGGAAGCCTCGCTTCACCTAAGTTTCGTGCTAGTTGGCACTCATCAACAAGGCATATTTGCAACCGTGAGCGAACTCATGTCCCTCCTTCTGAGGTTCGAACCCATGTTACCCAGTGCTGACTGCAATCAGAAACTTTACCACTGAGCTATTCAGGTTCGCGATTGACCGCCCGTAGGACTGTATAGGATATTTTTGATTGGACACTAGTCAGTAACTAATGTAATATGTCTAGTCCTATCTGCGGTGCAGACTGAATTCTATCAGTCATCCCCACTTTGTTCTATTCGCTGCTATCCTCTTCATCTGGCTAGCCACACGATTGCTCATAATCTCTCATTTCTTCCTCGCAACACAATCTCCTGCATGTCACTCTCGATGTAATGACCTACTCGTCGCTTCCCATTTGGATTTCACTCGAGTGATGGCCTGCATTGAGCGGTTTCCTCAATGTGTGCCCGATCAACCCATCTCCATTTTCTCCTACATATATTTGTTGAGCAATCGGCTCCTGGCTGATTTGTTCCCAGCCAGCCAGGGTTTCTTGTAGTTAATTCTATCTGGTCAGGTTAAATCAAGTGGATCGGGCAACTGTGAACCATAACCAAAACTCATTGGATGG